AGCGCGGCCCGACGGCAGCCAGTGCGAAGTGCGTCATGCTGCATTTCGCGCCGATGCGTTACCCAGACAACACTGCGCTTGCCTCTTTTTGTGATGGAGGGATGGCGGACGTGGTGAAACGCGCATGTGTCAAAAAACGCAGCGTGGCGCGCACCTGCGAGTATATGGCAGGACCAGCGCTTTGCATGGCAACGCAGGCGTGACGCGACGAAATGAACGTCGGTGAGCATGTGCGCCACGTCACGTCGAAATGTATTAGCGCCTTAACTGTGGCATGTAGCCATGTTCTCACATGACACGCATCTCATGATTATCATGTTTGCACCAGTCGCGTACCTTCGTCATTCATTGGCGTCACGTAATACCAAATTTGGCTAATGTGAAGCTAGCGAAACGGCCGCCAGTGCATCATTGTGGCATGTAGTCATGTTGTCACATGACACTCATGTCGTGATTTTCATGTTAGGGTTTGTCGCTTTTGTTCGCCATGCAATCATGCCATACCATACCAGTTTTGCTATATGCCGTGTAAACGAAAGCACCGCCAATGCTGCAGGACCATGAACTGTAAATTATGACATTCATGACATACATGTGATTATTTTCATGTTATGGCTATTTACATATGTTCTTCATATAGTAATGTTGTGCCATATCAAGTTTGGTATTCATACCTTTATTGAAACGCCCAGGAGAGCTAAAAGTCGTAGAGGGATAGATAGATAGATAGATAGATAGATAGATAGATAGATAGATAGATAGATAGATAGATAGATAGATAGATAGATAGATAGATAGATAGATAGATAGATAGATAGATAGATAGATAGATAGATAGATAGATAGATACGCTTATGGTCGCCGAAGTTCGATAAGAAATGATTTGCTTTTAAAAATTGCTGCCTAAGCCATGACGTCAAACTTTGCACTTTTGTTCATGTCCGCCCCTTCTTTCACCAGAAAAAGTATGTTAGCAGAGGGCGCTCACAAGTGTCGCGGCAGCGAAAAACAAGGTCGTGACTAAGGTGGCGGTTGGTTGTTCACACGGAAAGCAGTACTAAGGGCGCGTTTATGAAACAGTGGCAAGACACGCACTTCGAAATTGTTTTTAAACGTGTTCTGCGCTACATTATTCATTGATTTTTCGTAAACCATGCGAGCTTGTCCACTCAAATTTACATAGCAAGGTATCTTGCTTTCAGAAGTTTTTCAGTAGTCTTTTAAGGGTGCACGGTGTTTTGTGGAAACACGTGGGTTTTGAATGTGAGTCACTGTACCTAACTTGCACGCCCCAGTCAAGTTGCAAGCTAGGCGGGGGAACAAGAGAGAGAAAAAAATAAAAGGAAAAGGCGGGGAGGTTAACCTATAAGAACTGGTTTGCTACCCTGTACAGGGGTGGGGAAAGGGGTTGGAAAGAGGATAGAGATAGAGAGATAAAATAGATTAGAAAAATTCACATGCGCACACATTCAGGGAGTTCCGATCCCAGTCGTTTGGACAAGCTGGTGTTACGCAAGAAGCGCATGGGCGCCTTCACAGCCTTCTTCTGCGACATAAAGTACTGTCGGTAGCGTAGGGATTCTTTCTTCCGAAAGAGGCTGGTTGTCCAGTCTAACCAGTACATTGCAGAGTGACTGTCTCTGCGAGCAGTACTGTGGTGGGCATTCACACAGAATGTGCCAAGTTGTTTCGTCACTGCCACAATGGTCGCATGCAGCAGTGTCAGCCATTCCTATGCGGAACACGTACGCATTGGTAAATGCGACGCCCAACCATAATCTGAACAGCATGTTAGCGTCTTGTCGGCTTAATTCCGGGGGAATTCGAAGGTTGAGAGTTGGGTCTAAGGTACATAACCGTGCATGGATGAAATGTGACACGTTCCAATGGGACGTGGTGCGCTTGCGAGCAAGCATGCGGAGTTTCCGTGCAGCGTCAGTTTTGGAAAGCGGAATTGATATTTCATCGCTTTCAGTATGGGCAGAATGGGCAGCTCGATCGGCCCGTTCATTGCCAATTATTTCACAATGACTTGGAAGCTATTGAAAGGCTACTTCATGTCCTTTCTCAATCAAACGGGGAAACAAAAATTCTTGAGAGCCTCGTGGCTAAAAGTGGATGTCATTGGTATAGAGTTGATTTCTAATATTGAGTGTATAGGAATGAAACAGAAAGGAAGAAGGAAGAAAGGTTTACCAGAAAGACTTCCAGTTTTCTACTCTACACCAGGAGATTACAGAAGGGAAATAGAAATATTTGAAAGAAAAACGAGAAAGGGGAAGAAGAAAGCAAACACAAGCGAAGCAGTGAATTAATTACAGCGTGCGGGATTGCACCACGAGTCAGACGTGTACGTGAAAGCCCGTCACTCTCGAAAAGTACCAGAGTGATTTGACTGTCTTGTGGGCCATCTAGTGATTGGGATGGTAATGGGGTAGCATCTGCCCGAAAAATGGGCGGTCGTCTAGTCACCGAAGTTCCCAAGAAAGCCTTTCTCTCTATGAGGCAAGCAAGAACAGTGGCAGCACGAATGTTCAATGTTTTATTTCACTGCACAAAGTTTGCACATGGCAGAGTCAGACATTGCGATTAAGGAGAAGGAGGAGAAGAGAAAAACGAAGGACTGGGAGGTTAGCCAATTCTCATTCTGGCTGGCTACCTTGTGCTGGGCAAGGAGATATGGGGAATAAAAGTTGACAGAAAAGAAATGTTAAAAGAAAAAAAAGAACTGTGTAAATTGATGACACTGCTTTGTGTATATCCTCGTGAATGCGTACAACTTGATGCGAAGCTCCAAACAAGTGCTCACGAAAATCGTATTTGTGATTGCATGTACGGTAACATTCATGTGGTATAACATTTGGCTTTAACATAATACAAGCATGTTAACATAATACAAGCTTGAATGGTTCACTGAGGAGTCATGCTGCTTCATGGAAACGCATTGAGTAAAACTACTGTGGTCCCTCCCCCTCCCCCCCCCCCATGAATGTTCAGCGAAGAACGAACTGTTAAAAAAAAAGTGCCTCATATCTCAGTGTGCCCACACATTAGGTAGTATTGCAGAGGTCACCATGAATTTGAAATTCTGCAACTAAAATAAATGATAAAAGACGCAAATATGATGTTTTATCAGATTGTGATTGGTTTCTCCACGTTGCTGAGCCGGAGCTTTGGATGAAAATTAGGCATATTGTTCAGATAAATTGTTGTAATGATTTGTGCGGATGCAGGTAATGCAAACTTTAGTTTATTCAAGGTATGGCTGGAAATGAAGTAATCTGAGCATAGAAAGCACCACGTTTTCTGTTCAATGACTAAAACAGCTAGAAGCCACGTTGCAAGGGGGAGTTCAGCATGTGCATTGGCTATTAAACATTCCTAAACCACATTCTTTCTTGTTCTCCTGCTATGCGTCTCTGTAGTTATTAGCACCAGTAAAATTCAATTTACCGAGCTCTAAAGGCTTGAGCTACCAGGGCTCAGAAGGGGGGTCGGTTGAATCCCCCCTCACGGAGAGTTCTCTTCCATGTTCAGAAAGCATAAAAAAGACGCTGTAATTCACTTTTTTGTTCTTCACGAGTAATACACGTGCACACTTTTATTTTAAATTTTACAAACTTATTTTGTGTACGGTACCCTCAGCGTAAGGGTAATGCAATTTCATTTTCTACACCCCATCAGTGCTTGCATCTTGGAAACTAGTGGTATAGTGGCTCGTCACAGCGTTAGCTTTCACTGGGCCGTAAACCTTATTTTCATAGGTACCACGTTCGATTTGCCCACTTTCTTAGGAAAGATCTAACTGAACTTTTCCAATCATTTTCATTCGTGAACGGTATACCATGCGATTCCTTCTACCTGAACATTACTGTGCGGTCTTTAAAACGCTGTACCAAGCTCGCTTTCTACTGAATGTTCTGAAAATTACAAGATAAATACGAGGTTTGTACGCTTGAGCGGCAGCCCTCTTATAACCACTTGGTTTCTTTGCAAGGTATACGCTAGGTGCGAAGAATCCCGCATATGAACAATACCCATGCAGTTGACGCCACCAAAATACTAAGTTGTGAGCCCTGACACTTGCGTTGTGTTCCGTCTTATAAACTTTCTTGTAAAGAGACATTGGGGTCTTGCAAAGTTGCTTCGCGTTCTTGCGATTTGTTCAATAGTTGTGCAAATCTACGCATCTATGTGCCCTGGCTTCATTAACAGAAATGTGTTTCACATGAATGGACATTATAAAACGGCGAATGCGAAGAACGGCCCTTAATTAAAGAAAACCTACTCTGCCAGATCAGGCAGCGGTTATTTTACAAATCAATATATTCGTGAACAGCTATGGCTACCAAGCAGACCTTGTGTGTGAAGATTTCAGCTTTAGGAAAGCAACTCTTTCCTGTAAGCTTCAGTAATTTGATAACTGCGCTCACTTTGTCACTTTACATGCCCCGATGGCCCTACTATTACTTGACTACGGACCAGAAGGTCGCGGGTATAAATGCTGGCCACGGACGTTGCGTTAAGATGGTGGCGTGGTGCTTGCGGTTCATGTAGTTAGACTGAGGTGCACGTTACTGAACATCACACATTCAAAACTTCAGGAGCTCTCCTCTACCGAGTCTCTAATAATCATATATTGAACAAGGGCGGAAAATGCACACAATTATTGTATTATGCCTTGTTCCTTCAGGTATCACGGAAGACTGTGCTTACCTACCAATAACCTATGGAGGAGAATACAATTGTTAGTGTCACTGTCACTAGTTATCGCATGACCTATTTATTTCCTTTGAATTGACCACCCAACTAATCATTTGCAGCGTCATTGTTTACGTAGGCGGGTTGTGAAAAGTTTTATTCTTCTTGTTGCCGTCGACAGAATACCGTTTTTTCGTGGTTGACAGGGATGAACAATACGCAATGGCTTTTCTGCAGAAAACACGTGACCTATGAAATATGTCGTGACTGCGACTGGGAGTCGTATATATACCCGGGCTAGCTGCGGGATAAGGTCACAACGCTTGGCCAGTAAGCGTTGATAAAGGGGAAAGACGGGCTTTTTCACCATGAACGGAAAACTTCTGGCCGCAGTCCTAACCGTCCTATGCTTTGGTGAGTGTTGGTGTCTGATGGTTCAAAAATGAAATGTTGTGAACTTATTGCTTCTAATCTGCGAGAAGTACCAATTTTATTTAAATATTTCGGTGTTGCTTGAATTACTTCTATGATACCACTCATTGTTGCGGGTTTGAAAAAAAAATAAAGCTTGTAGGTACCGTTATATTTTGCTCAATGTACGGTATAATCTAACGAGTATCAGTGCAAGTCTGTTCGTAAGGTGACAAGATATTCGAAAAGATGTTTTTCAGAACATTTTCATACTCTTGGGTAAGCTCATAGCAAAATGAAAACTCGCAGTATGCAATATCCAACCATTGCAGCGTAGCCGTCGGAAAACGCCTCACCAAATCTCACGATTTTAAATAGCATGGGACAGATGGCGATAATAACACGTCATTTACTGGCGAAATAAGCATTCAAGTGTCTTGTAGCGAGGATTTATGCTAGAAGAAGTGATACACTGTATAAGACTATGCTATCCAGTTTAGGAGCTCAAAGTTATTGCCATGGGGTTACATAATGCCGACATGAAGCAAATAAAAGAGGTTTTTTTCTGTGTTGTCACACAGTCTACCAAACAAACTTTTTCTTACCATCAAATTGCCTTCTTTATATTTTTCAGCCTTTGCAGACAGAGCTGCTGCATTTGTAAAGGGAGCAGGGCAGCTTAGTTATGGCTTGGGAGGAGGCTATGGAGGCCTAGGAGGCTTTGGCGGCCTAGGAAGCTTCGGTGGCCTAGGAGGTTTTGGTGGCATTGGAGGCTATCGCGTTCTCGGAGGCTACAATGGTCTCGGTGGCCTAGGAAGCCTTGGTGGCTTCGGAGGTCTGAGTGGCGTAGGAAGCCTTGGAGGTCTCGGTGGCTATAGCAGCTATGGTGTCCTCGGAGGTTACAGTGGCCTAGGAGGTGTCGGAGGCCTTGGTAACCTAGGAGGACTCAGTAGTCTAGGATACTTTGGAGGTCTCGGTGGCTATGGAGGTTCTCGTGTCCTCGGAGGTTACAGCAGCCTTGGAGGCCTAGGAAGCCTTGGTGGTCTAGGAGGTGTCAGTGGCCTAGGAAACTTCGGAGGTCTTGGTGCCTATGGAGGCTATCGTGTCCTCGGAGGTTACAGTGGCCTTGGAGGCCTAGGAAACCTTGGTGGCCTAGGAAGTCTCAGTGGCCTAGGAAGCCTGAGAGGTCTTGGTAACTATGGAGGTTATCGTGTCATCGGAGGTTACAGTGGCCTTGGAGGTCTAGGAAGCCTCGGTGGCCTGGGAGGTCTTAATGGCCTAGGAAGCCTTAGTGGTCTTGGTGGCTATGGAGGTTATCGTGTCCTAGGAGGTTACAGTGGTCTCGGAGGTCTATCAGGGTATGGAGGTCTTTCTGGTCTAGGAAGTCTCTATGGCCTTGGCGGACTTTCAGGTCTCTCTGGACTTTATGGAAGCTCCCTTGCTCTGTCAGGTCTTAGCGGAGGCCTCAGAGGACTAGGTGGACTGTACGGGCTTGGTGGTTATTCTGGTCTTAGTGGACTCTCAGGGTTGTACGGAGGTTACTCAGGCCTTGGAGGCCTCTCTGGTCTCATGGGAGGTTATGGAGGTTACTCCGGCCTCCTCAACGGTGGTTACTTGGGTGGATCCTCAGGAGTTTTCGGAGCCTATAACCCATCTGTATTTTCATACGGTACCCGATTCGGTTCAGTAGGCTACCCAGGTTCATTCGGAGGACTAAATGCACGTGTTGTGGGAGGTTATCCCGGAGTCGCTGGACTCTACGGAAGCTCTATTGGTCTCTCAGGACTTGGAGGCTTCTCTGGACTCCTGGGAGGCTATTCAGGCTTGTCAGGTCTTTCGACTTTGTACGGGGGATACCCAGGCGTTTTGGGTGGACTCAGCGGTCTTGGAGGATCTCTAGGACTTTTCGGTCGTGGTTTTGGTCTCTCCGGTCTGTCTGGCGGTTACTACGGACCCCTAAGCAGTGGTTACTTGGGTGGCTCTTCAGGACTTTTCGGACTCTCTAGCCCATCTGTATACTCATATGGCGGCTCACTCGGCTCGCTAGGCTACCCAGGATCTTTGGGAGGTCTTTATGGAGGACTTAGAGGAGTCATTGGAGGCTACACTGGTCTGAGAGGGCTTTCAGGACTGTACGGAGGATACCCAGGACTCTCTGGCCTGTCCGGACTTCTCGGAGGTTACTCTGGCCTTTCCGGCATGTACGGAAGTTACCCTGGTTTTTCCGGTCTTTCCGGCGTATTCGGAAGCTACCCACGTTCATTCGGCCTCTCTGGCACATATGGTAGCGGTTATGGCAGCTCACTTGGATACGGCCCCTTCGGAGGCTTTGGCTACCCTGGCGTTTACGGTGGGAGATTGGGTGGATTCGGTGGCTACGGATTTGGTGGCCTAAGTGGATTCGGCGGCCTTGGTGGATTCGGCGGTCTTGGTGGATTCGGCGGTCTTAATGGATTTGGCGGCCTTGGAGGATTTGGTTCATTCAGTCCCGTCTCTGGAACTTTCCGTAACCTGGGAACAACCTCAAGCATTGGTGTTCTTCCTGGTGTTGCTTCAGGAGCAGGACCTATTAGCGGCGTGAAGGGGTAAGTGTTCACAAAGTTCTCTGAGTGGTTTTTCTAAATTTGTATATCATAGCTGCCTTCTTGACAAGCAACAACTGATAATTGTTATGCTAGCGTTATCACGTAATGCAAGAGAACGTTTTAACGCTTCTAGATTGCAAGAGCGAAAATAGCTACAACTTGCATGAGGGTAACTGGGGATACTTTCGCTTCACCTTGTTTTTCTTAAGATCGAAGTCTTGCATATTATGAAGTATAATTGCTGTTACCTATAGTATTACTCTTATTTATATAACTCCTGGAACTTAGTTGTGTGCAAGTAACGCACACAAATTGTTGCTGTTAAGCGTTAGTGAAGCTATTCCCGAAACCCAGAAACATTTTCTTCCACTTGTATTACTCGATCGCTCCTTTCGTGTAGAAGTACATAGAAGAGACAGCCAGAAGCACATTGGCTGGCTTTTATTGGAACACAATTTTCTTGCGCTTCGCGGCACCAGTGTACACTGAAGTACGTGATAGCTCGAAGTTCTTCATTATCGTATGCTCCAAACATCTTTCTTTTATACGGAAGACATGTAGCTAATCTTCTCCATTCAGGAAATAACAGGTATAACGAAACATCTTACCCTCTCAGCAACCAATTCGCTGCAAAGTTTCGAAAGTGTAAGAGTAATTCAGCTGTTAATGGTCCGCACATTTTCTCAACAAAGTGCGTTGGTAATGTAGGCAGCTTGAGAATTTTATATTGTCTACAAACCGCATTTTGTTGTTGTTGTTTTTTTGCAGAGTGAAGACTGTTGTGGTCTGAAAAGCAAGTTATTTCCTCTTCTTCATTACGTATGTTATTTGATGTTATTTCTTAGGTGCTAGAAATGTTGTAAGTCGTGTAGATGTTGCTAGCAGCAATAAATAAACTAATGCTGACCCTTACAGAAGGTTCAAATTGGCTCCCTCTGAAAAAACAGTTGTGTTTTTTTTATTCAATCTCAACGGCCATCTCAAAAGCGTGATTCTAAGTTACACCAAAAAATTATTCACCTTTAATGCCATAATAGTGGATTAAAATCAAGTGTAAAATAACTTATCAATTTTTTACTAAAAAAGCTGTTTTAGTAGATTCTTTTTTGGGTAAATTTCAACAAATTCTTTGTAGAAAGCATTAGTTGAAAGTTTATTTGAACTTTCATTCCTCGTTACAGATACGAAGTCAAGAAAACGAACCGATAAACAATAAAATATGGGCTTCAAAAATCTACTGAAGCCACGGAAACTGCAGCAAGGCACCATCCCCTACTACCTTGCAAAATAAACTGTTCGTGACGCTAGCTGTTGTTTTCCAGATACGCTTTTTTTGCATGAACTTTTATCAAAACTCACACTGCCAGGCAGACTAGGTTCAGCGTCATAGCAACATCAAAACTACCGATCAAAATTCCAGCAAATTCGGTGGACCAATGGTGCAGAGTGTACGGCGTCTTGGGTAATGAGTATTCATCGTCACTATGCTGTCAATACGGGAATCGGAAGTGTACTCTATTTTATATTGCGCGGGCGGATGCTAAACTTGAAGCTCGTACGCAGATTACATCACATTGTTTTGGTGTGACAAATCTTAAAGCACCATACCTCTACGCCAGGATGCTGAGTTCCCCAAACTTTGCATTCATAAGAGCTAAGACGTTTGCTAAGGGGGCCCACTTATCCTTCTGCGGTCACATTATCGGTCATTATTATCGGTCCCACTAACGTGTGATGGCTATCACGCGTCATAAACGTAAATATGCCACTATGTTTGTGTCCGAGTTGTTGTGATCCAGAAGTAATGATTCTAGTCGACGGGCGGCCATGCACTGCTTCCGAATTTCGCAAGCATGAGTGCAATCATTATACCAGCATTTCATGTATTAGTGATATTTAAATTTCAGCGAGCGCGTATAGCCCCCGTTCATAGGCGATGTAAATCTTCAAGGAACGTGATCCATGAAGAGAGAAGGGGAGGAGCTATAAGCTATTTCAAAGGACGTATCGTTATTACAAGCGTTATCACAACTTCCTCCCGAAATTTTCAAGAACCGCGGTAAAACTTCCAACCGCTGAGCAATATATAAAGCGGTGGTTAATAACAACAACTTTAAAGGGTTTACGTCCCAAAGCGGCAACATTGTTATCAGAGACGGCGTAAGAAATGGCATCAGAAATACTAGCAGATGTGGTTTTCTAACGTGCATCTAATAGACCCATGTGTCTCTCGGGTTCCATTTTCCTGGAAATTCAGCGGCCATGCAGTGACGTGCGAAACAGCAGTCAAGCACTGTCACCCATAGATAAAAGAGGCGGCTTCAAAACTAAAGTTGTGAGGGGTAGAACGAGCTGCAGGAAAATAAAAACAATGTGAAGGAGGGAACTGATCTTTCGCCTCTTTTTTTGTGAACATGTTGTGTCTGACCAATCAGTACCAAGATGGTCACTAGCGTAGCGTGAAAGGTAATAAAACCCGATAGTAAGAAACACAAATATCTAAAAGACTTTTTTGTTCTATCTTACGTCTTTCAGCTAGCTTTAGATTTTTACAGATAAGCAATGTACAGATTTCAACATCGCGGTCATTTATGAGGTCGATGGCAACGACTCAATCGATATTGATGAGGTTTTTGAGTTCCTGATCCAGCTACGCAGTTTTCTGATGAGACCAGCACACCACTATCAGAGTCCTTTGAAGGGACACTAAAGAGGAACAACAGCTTAGTTTCTATTGACAAACTACACTCTGAGCACTATATTGACATAGCGATCACTATTATATGATTCATTTTAGCTGACAAAATCAAGGTTGAAATTTTATTTTTCAAATTTCGCGATGAAATCACCATACGTGATGTCGAAAATTTCAAATTGCATTTTCTCGCGCTTCAACAATATAGACTCAATGAAATTTTCAAACACCGTACGCCAGGTCTATGGCACCCACAGATGACAATTTAATTCATCTTAATTGATTAGAAGCTACGTGAAACCAAGTGGGCACCATAAAAATCTGTGATGTCGTATAGTTCGGTGCGGGAATCCCTTAGTGGCTTCTCCGCCCACGCTTTCTTTTCGTATGTTTTCTGCTTACCAAGCGTCAGGTCATGGTAGGAGTGCTGATGTTTGCAGGATCGTCAAATTGTACTTTTCTAATACGCAAAAAACAATGGTAGCATATCTATGTAGTGAATGATGGATAGTGGGGCGAAGCATTCGTCCGTCCATTCGTTCTTGCTTCCGTTCATCCATGCGTGCGTCTGTGTGGCCGCCCGTGCGTCCATCCGCCCGTCCGTGCGTGCGTCTGTTCGTGCGTTCACACGTCCATCTGTGCGTCCGTCCCTGCTTTCGTCCATGCATCTGCTCCTGCGTCCGTCCATGCATCCATGCAGCCATCCGTGCGTCCGTCCATGCATCTGTCTGTGTGTCCGTTCGCCACCTATTCAACACTCCAAGTACCACCATCTCGCATCTTTTCATCATATATTTCTCATATAGAAGCACCGCCATCTAGTAGACATTTCAAGGACTGAACAAGAGGAGGCACACACACACTTTCTTACGGCTTGCGCTTCGTGTCTACTTCCCACCTTTAACCACCTCGAGTTCATGGTATATACTAGTTCACTGTATTCATGGCACTGCGGCCCAACACTCTCTAAACCTCTATAAAACCTAAGAGGTTACGCCCAGCGAGTATAACGTAGCAACCTTTTCTTGTCTTCTGTGCGTTGTTGAACAACAAAAAATTCGCAGGGTGCGCGTTAACTAAAAGCCGAATTCTCTTGTCTCTCTTTCCCCTTTAGCAGCCATTGCCATGTATATTGAGCCCTATCTTTTATTGTTCAACAACGCACAGAAGAAATCTCTCACCGGCACCACCTTGAAGTCGAAATGTAAACTGGTTACACACTACGACTACTACTACGACTACGAGGGACGAACAAGTGCCGCTTTAAGGAGCTTCGCCCCTAAACACTTTTCTTGCTCGTTAGTGTTCGTTTAGGACTTATTGCAGTCAGCAAGCATCGGCGTCATGCATTTGACATTTGGGCAGCTTCAACCACTACCCAAAGCTGCCGCATTGTGGCGCCGCTGGGTCACAGAGGGCATCGTTCACGCGCCGGGGTGCTTGCACGGTGCGGCACGAGCTGATTATTGTGGCTGTCACCATGCATCCTCTGCGCAAGTTTTGAGGTGGCTCAAGTATGGCTGTGAGATGGCAGTGCCGAACATGATTTTCACGCTGGTGGATGGTTCTGTTTAAAAGAGAAAAACTAAGAGCTGTTTTTCGTTTACCGTGTAACAAGCATCAGCGCGGGATACGAAAGCGGGCCTACCGCTGCAAGACAGCAGTGGCTCCAATTTAGAATCTATGTACACGTGTACGTGTACAAAGCGCACTGATACTTCCAACATCATCACTGCCTAGGATTGTAATTTCAATGGCCTATATACTGGCCATTTACAAAATTGATGTTCTATTGTTCAACGCACCTGGCAGCATTTGCAGCTCGTTGCACCTGGTAATTATGCTCTAAAAGGACACACGTGATCTTCTGCGCGGGGCGCCTTAACTTATTTGGGAACACAAAATACAAAAAAAAGACTCTCTAACAGCAGACACCAAATACTTTTACAGAGAATTTATTTTCCACCTGCATGCACAAAATTCTAGGCATGACATGGAAAATGCACTAGCAAACAGTACAACATATACAATTACCTCTATGGTTGTCCACAACCATATACAAATATAGCCATTGAAAATGCAGTGCAGTGGCAACAATTCATATACTAGACTCAACTCACTACCTCAGCCAGCAGTAAGAGAGCAACACTTTTCAAAACCAAATAACGCGGCACCATCGCATTGCTTCCCGCCTTAGATGCCTCAGTTCCAGTGTAATGTGGTACTGTTCTCCCTGTTTCTGCAATATTACTCCGTGATCCTTTGAGTGGGCCTCGTTTCTTCTGCAGCGCAATCTGTCCAGGATCAGGTTCCCTGTAAGAAAAAACACTCCTTTATTACTATCAAAAACTTCCTAAAGAAGCATTTACCGATATGTTTGCGATATAAACAGTTTGATTAATTTCATTACTCTTAAAATGTTCGTTTATTTACTAAGATATAAATGAAAGAAGTTGTACCCAGCTACCTGTGCGCTATTTTTTTAGACATGAGTTACCATTTCGATATTATTTCTTCTAAATAGTTGTGCTTTCACTCAACAAGCAATTCACGTGATAGTAAAGGCCACAAGAAGGTGTGAGGGTGAGGTTCGATAAGGAGCACAGCATTATGAATGTCGTCTTACCACTCCGAAAACGTTTCGAACAACTGTTAAACATTACTTCAACTGCCATGATTAAAGAATAATTGCGGCACCAACTAATTTGAATCTTAAACGCAGTAAGGGCAGCGGCTAGCTCATTTAGCCTCTGAACTGGCGTAGCTTAACAAAGCGCAGTCGCAAGGAATCATGGCCGCTGCATCAAGGTAAGTGGCGTCGGTACTGTTTTTCGTTTCAACAAAAACTGAATGAAAAACAAATGCAGCACGTCTCAAGGTACCAGCACTCCGCTTATGCTTCCCAGGGAAGGGCATGCTTGACCCCGCCTAAAGGCTTAGTTTCGTAATTACTGCAAAAACGTTGGTTACTGGCAGAGTCACGCAGCACTTCTCCCCTTTGTTAGTTCTAAAGACACCCGACCGGTTTGCCGACCACTTGAACAGCGATCGTCAGCTGCCTTAACGTGCTTTCACTTGCGCATAAAACAAGCGGCGCCTTTGTACTTTATCCTGAACCTCTCGGTGACACCCATGCCGACGGCAAAAAGTGGGCCAAAACTGTTCATATAGGTATTATTTTAACAAAAAGGTATTTGTAAAGAGGAAGGCTTACTCAAGAAGCTCTTCCTAAGAGCGCCTGCGTGGGCTGTTCGGGCTAACCATGTTCATTGTAAACAGGTTATCATGGTTAGGCGCTTCATTTCTTTCACTAATATTGCATTTAATTTTAATACGATCAAGGTCCCTTAAGTCCGGCGTCACCGTCGCCACCGTCACCGTCGAAGCTCCCTGCATGGGGCCAGTGCACCGAGGAAAACAAAAGGTGCGCGCTTACTTAAGGCGCAGCGGGAGGACAGGCGCGGCGGCACATGGCTCGCGCTGCGCAGCGTGCGCCGCACACTCACTCGTTTAATCATTCCCGCGACCAAGCGCTGCAGACTCTCTGTCTTTTGCCTCCTGTTTCTAAGGGGTTTCGCTCATCGGTAGCATTCGTACATGGAACTATTACTAGTTTTGCTTATGACTTGCTCAAAATTTCAAAGTACCAGAGCTATTCGCTACAGACTTTTGTTACTCTAGAACATTAAATTCAGCCAGTTCTGCTCAAGGGCGTATAGGTTAGGTTAGGCGAGGTTAGGTCATTACCGGAGAATTCTAAACAATAACAGAGAGTACATACGAGCAAAATTTTTTCCAAATTTGGTAGATTATTCTAAGGATTGCAGCGATGAACATTGCAGAACAAAGTTAAGGACTTGTAAATTGAAATAACTTTAGAGTGCGCATCTGCATGAGTACAAGACAATATTACTTGTGCAGTCTTTGTGCTTAAAATAAAAGGTCACAACTTAAATTATTAAATGTGCAAGGCGAATAGATAATGTTTTTCATTATTAAATTTCATATGTTGAAGTGGTTTATCACCTAACTTGGCCCAGTAAGTGCCTGCCGATAACTACAGTACCACCCGACATAGTTTGTTAATAAATATATTATAGAATCATCAATCATTAGCGAAATGTGACGTTTCCTCACAGCATTCATAATAACTTTTCTCATCAAGGCAGACACCTTCAGGTGGCTAGACATGTTAATTATGTCTGTAATAAAACAGAATTTTAATTAATTTTTTACACAGTGAGGAAAAACGGTCAGGTTAAATTGGCCTCTGGTGATTGGTGCAGAGCAAGGAAGTTAAATCAAGTTCACCATGAAAGCGAAACCAAAGCTCCAATGAGCCCAACTATCAGGTGACCAGAATAACGCCACTGTTGATGACCGCGATTTGATGTGGTGTTAGTTCTGCAAGTGTTAACTTAGTGTCACCATACGTGCTCCAGAGCGAGTTCAGGCATATGCCCTTGACTTGACCTAGTTTAAGTCACTGGTGACACTGAGAGTGGCTTTTGCAGAAAGGGCCAAACAGGATATCGAAAATGTCCGACTTTGACATGGGATGGTGAGCAGTCGCCTTTGAAGACCAGCTTCACACAGCGTGGCTGCCCATGGCACTGTGCCTGAGTGATGAAAGCTCCCGCAATGCCTTGCCAGCAGAAGTGGTGCCAGCTTTTGCATTGCAAAGATGTCGGAAACATGCTATTTTCTGGCAATGCCCCCACTTGTAGATCAAGGGGCTTTGATATGTAAGTGTAAATGCTACGTTAGTTCTGTATTAAAATATAGTTGTTTCCGATAAATTAGCACACAGAAATGAGTATGAGTGACTGACTTTTCAATGAACTTTGCCTCCAACTAGAGGCACTTGCTGAAGAAAACCAATAACACTAATACGCAGTTGGAGCACTATGTGACACTAAAACGTTTCCACATTCGTTCCGGACGCCCCAATAAATATCCCTGTTCTGCTCTGTTGTTGTAGCTTCACAGCGAAATGGGTCAAATAATATTATTCGCGAATAATATATTTCTCCCTGTTTGCGAACAGCGTGAAGTTACTGCCCCACCCAGCATCCCCTCCCTCGGAGCAGGTGCTGGTTGGCAAGAAAGTTCCGCCGGTGGTATCCTTCTGTATGGCAGCTCTGCGTGTGTATGCATTCCTTCGACAGATATTTCTGTGGTTTGCTATTCTCTATTGTCACAGCTTTTAAAAGGAAGCGTTACTGCATATGATGCACAATTCTGTTAGGTTGACATGTTCAAATTCGCGCATCGTAGAAAACTAGCCCCAAACATCGCACTACTTTACCACACTCCCCCACTAACGGGGCTGTTTTGCCAACCACCGCCTTCATGTGCACCGGTGACGTCACGCTGTGACGTACCCCGGTAGAGGTCTATTTCTGACGGTTCCTTTGGCAAATTCTTACAGCAGTAGCAGTCACTTCGCGGGAAGGGCTGAAATGTTGCCATCTCACCCGACCGCCTGCCGCCACTAGTTCAAAAGTAACTTCACAATAGTTTTCTTCATCACATGATTCAAAAGTGTGTTTCAGGTTCAAGCTGTTGTGCTCAACGTTGAACGTATTGCTTTGAAAAAATAAATCAAAAACAATTGTTAGCTTTGCTATACTTGTACTAGAGGCTGGATTTATAGGAACTAATAAAAAAGATTTTAGGCACCCAAACTAGTCAGGTAAAACGCCATTTAAGGCCCCTAAAATCGTAAATATAGACACATTAAGCTGTGATAAAATTCAAATTTTCGAAGAAATACGTGTGGAATCTGTTTCTACAGCAAAAAAAAAAAAAAAACAAGCGGAAATGTTTTAGTTTATGATGGTACAAAGGCGGCAATGGTTTAGCATAGGCATAATTTTTTTTTTTTGCGGCAGCGTTTGCAGAATATGGTCTCTCCTTCTCTAGTCAAGCATGATGAGTTTAGCGTCCCCCGTCGAATAAAAACGCTCCTGGGACGCTTTATCTTCAGCGTGGGTGAGGAAGGCAACATAGGAGCAAGGAAGGAAGGAAGCAACAAAAGAGAGAAGGCATGAAGGTTAGCTAGAAATACATCCGGTTGGCTACCCTACACTGGGGGATTAGGGAAATTAGCAAGAAAGATGAGAAAGAGAGAAGAGAAGGAAAAGAAATAGGGAAGAGACAGACAGCGAATTCACTGCAGCGTGTAGAACTGCACCACAAGTCAGAGGTGTTCACACAGGAGCAAATAGCCATAGCGCTAATAGGCCAGGAGGGTTTTTGAGATATTAATCTAACCGCACGGGGTCCATTTTTCTTCTGTCTGTGAACACCTTAAAGGGCCTCTCGCCTGATTTGATATTTTCTAGCAGGCAAGAGAAGTGCGTGAACTGGGGGCTCACGATCTTGTCTTCCAAGATTTGCTATACTATGCACCCTTAAAAGAGGTGAAATGTCAGACTGAACGGTACTTGACCTTCATCTGACGGGCACACGTCTCAAGATGGTGGAGGCGTCGTATATAATTAACAGGGAAAAATCCTGCGTACGTCAAACTTACTCTGCGAGAATTAATTGAGGTGACGTGTGTGATTCGTGCAATCTGTTTTCTCAATGGAATATTAAAAGGTACAAGCAAAGTCTATGCGTGTTTGTTTTTACTTTATATTGAGCGAGATGGGGAAGTAATCTGCCTCCATTTCGTTTGCGCTGGTGTTCTCGCATCATGCCAGTGCCATCATTCACCACGTTTGGCGTGTTTTTGGTGAATCGTCCCTTAGAGCACTTCCAGCAGTGCGACGTTCTGTATCGTGGTAAGGATACATGATCTATGCCAATAACAGCGAAAGTTGGGCTAGTTGGAGGTTCATACTTGGGAAGTAAAAACAGCGCAAAATATAGACAAGGACAAGGTGTCGTCTCTTCCTCTGCCTTTGTCTATATTTTTGCGCCGTTTTTACTTCCCAAGTACGATCTATGCCAACCTCACCACACGTGCGTGCATAGAGAGATTCATCACAGATAAACAGGCAGTACAAAGCAGAGAACGTTGAAACCATATGGCACTGTTTGCGAGCACGACCTGGAATAGAGATGTCATGCGAATGTAATCTTGCATGCACATGACGTATTGATGCATCTGTGTCATGTGATCCTTTGACTCCGAGTTCGTCCGATACCGAAGAGGGCAGGGAAGAAGTTTCGCTTGCGAAGTCTACACCGAGCGAGTGGCAAAGGTTTCAAGCTTATCTCTTCGCATCATGCTTTCGCGGCTCGTCATGAACCACTCAAAAAACTTTTTATTTGGCACGCAACAAGGAGAAGACATGTATAGA